ACCTAAGCACTCGATGTTAATTGTTTTTGTTTTTCTCTTCAGATTCTCCATGCTTGTTCATCCCTAAACAAGGCATGATCATCCATTGATCTTCCTGTAATGAAATAAACAAGAAAACTGTAAATCCATGTTCTTCATTCTCAAACAGACATAGGCAGAAAGAAAGTTAAAAGAAACTTGTTCATATCCCATTTAACTAAAATAAATCTACTAATTAAACAGAATGGACACCGTATTCACATTCACCGGAATGAATACAAATAAAACTGACATCCCAAAATCAGCTATTTGAAATGAAGAAGGAGAAACTAACAAAAGAATTCTAAATCCAACAAGAAACTAACACATAAGATGGTAAAGAGCAGTATAGCATGAATTTGCACGAAATAGATATAAAATCCATAATACAATGAAGAAGTATGAAAAAAAAGAGATATGAGATGTAAACTGAGAAATGTTTGTCCGAAGAGTAATTAGCAAGTGAACTATTATCTTAGTGGTTAAAGGAGCATCGGTAACCAACAACTAAGAGGTCATCTGACTACTAGGACTCGAGGAGATGAGGAAAAATGGAGAACAGGGGCAGGGAGGCTAGAAGAAAACAAATTATGAATATGATTTCTAAAAGACTAAATCACCAATACTCTAGTTTCTTCCTTTTTTGTTTAATTCACTTTTGGGCTGCCTTTTTGTCTAATCCATTGAATCACTTTTGGACTTTCTATTTAATTGATTTTGGATTTTTTTTTTGGCCTCACAGGACGGGATCGGCCCAGCCTTTGAGGCTGGCAGAACAAATGAGGCTAGGCTTAATAACCTCACTTCTAAAGGGAACTAAGAAACCTTAGCCTAACCCTACTTAAATAAAGGGCTTAGTTGGGCCAGCTTCACGAGCCAAGCCCATTTTGACGACTCCACTTGAGATGAGCTTAAATGTAAAAATATGGTTAGTGAGGGTTCATATAGTTGATGCCAACTTGCTTGGGATTGAGGCTTAGTTAACTAGGAAATAGGTGAACAACTTAGATGGAGCAAATTTCTTGCTGGTTTAGGGGCATAAATCCTAATTTCTAAGTTTCAGTTATGGGTAGAGCCGTCAAAATGGATTTGGCTCGTGAATGACCCTACTCAGTCCTTTATTTTATCATGCAAATAGTACACATGAACCTACTTTAGAGGTGAACACAAACAAGCAGAATCTGAACAGAAAAAACCCAAGTAGTTAACATCGAATGTTTGGTTTATTTCGGAAAAATTGGCCGAGGTGAAGATCGAGTTGATAGGGCGATATGTAAATGGTGTCATAAGAATATAAGGTTAGTTCAACTCCGTGACCCACGAGTAAAAACTATGAAACGTCACATGTACATCATCATATACCTAATGTAAAAAGATTTCATATCATGATTTTGGGTCAGATGTTTATTGATCAACAAGGTATATTACAGTCTAGAAAATATGCCAATTGGCTTCCTGTGAAAAGCTTGGTGAAGCTTTAATTAAGTATGATTTTCCATATTCAATAATGGAAGTAGAGTTTGGGCAAGTTATGTAAGTTCGAAAGTAATGATGCCTTCTAGGAACACTTATGTTGGGGTTTTTCAATAAGTGTATTTTAGTGAGAAGGAAAAACTAAAATAAGCTTTAGCTAATATTCCTAATAGAGTTTGTTTGATAACTCATTGCTGGACAACAAGTACTTCTGAAAGTTATCTTTGTTTAATGGCCCATTATGTTGATGAAATAGGAGGTTAGTTCATAAAAATTCTGAATTTTGTCATTTGATTCCTCCTCATACAGTTGAACCGCTTGCAGCTATATGTGATTGTTTGATAGAGTTGGGAATGGATAAGAAGTTGTATTCGATCACTTTGGATAATGTCATTAATAATGGTAACATGCAAAATATTTTAAAAGGGCATCTTAGTTTGCAAAAGAGTTGGTTATTTGATGGCGAGTTCTTTCATGTTTATTGCTCTCATATTCTAAAGTCGATTGCACTGTTGTCAAAGCTCATTTAAGGGTTAAGCCTTGAAGCTCAGGGAGGATGTTTCGCCTCGCTTAAGCTATGCTTCAATTAAAGGCAAGGCACTAAGGTGTGCGCCTCGTTGCCCATGAGTTCTATCTTGAATCAATTGACACTAAACCACAAATATCATCGGCAAATAAGTCTATTAGCTGTTAAGGAAAACATTATGAAATATGAATGAATTTGTTACTTTTTTTTTTTGAATTAGCATATATTTTTTTCCGCTTCTTTGTGCAATTTTTTACTAAGCCCACACTTTAGTTGTGCTTTGCACTTAAAATCTCGATAGACTTGGAGAGAGCTTTTCTCCTTTGACAATACCGATCGATTGTTCAAAAGGTGTGAAAGTAGCTAAGGATGCCTATTTTGAATTAAAGAAAGTTATAAGTATGTCAAAGGATTCGATGATAGAATAGAAAATTTGAGATGTGTTAAGCAAGTTGGAATTGATACAATTCTTGGTTTAGGGTTGAATGTGTCAACTAGATAGAACTCAACATACTTGATGTTTGAGAGTGCACTTCAGTATGAATGACTTTTGCTAGTATACAATTGATTGATAGAAATTATGCTTATTGCCCAACATCTGATCAAAGGAGAAAAGTAGAGAAAATATGTGAATTCTTGGAGCATTTTCATGAGATGCCTAACTTGATTCCTAGTTTAAGTTTTCATCTCCAACTTTTTATGCAAGTTTGGAGAATTGAATGTATGTCGAAAGAGAAGTCACATAATGAAGATGCAGTTATTAAAGGAATGAGTTCAAGAATGTTTATGAAGTTTGATAAGTACTATAGTAGTATAGTATGATAGTGTAGTACATGCACTTAGAGCAATTTGTGATCCTCGCTTCAAATTGCAATTCTTTATGATTTTTTACTCTAAGGGGATCCTATTTCTGCACAAGAGAAAGAAAGAATAAACTTTACAAGCTTTATGATCACTATGTAAATAATCAAATTGGAGCAGGATAAAAATGGACTCTTTGTTGTTGTTTTATTTTTGGTGTAAGCAGGATTATACAGAGGATCCAGAAGCTATAATAGATGTTCTAGGATCCTTGTAATAGGATAGAAATTTTAGATGTATATTTTGGTACAACCTCCTGTAATTATGGCCAGCACAGCCTTTGTGCCTTTTGAATATATAAAACTATTATCATCCCCCCCCCCCCCCCCCCCCCAAAAAAAAAAAACAAAAAATCAAATTGGAGCAAGTGCTTTTACTATTATATGTTCATCAAGTGAAGAAAGAAGTCTATCTAAAGAGATCTAAAATATTCGGTGCAACCGTGCAAGTATTTTACGTTGTTCTTGATCAGAAAGTACTCTTTACTTTGTTGTAGATTCGTACTTTTTAATTAAGCAATTATATTTCCTATTTCGTCTTATTATCTGCATTTCATGTTCTTAATTTAATAGGAGTTTGAAATGTTTGAGAGTGAATTTGCTAGAAAGCCAGAATTAAACCTTTATTTGGATGAATGAAAGCTTAGTTTTGGGAAGTTTCTAGAGATGGATGTTGTTAAGTATTGGAAGAAGCATGAAATAAAGCATCATTACCATTTAGCGATTGCGTGTGATGTACTCAAAGTTCCAATTACCACCGTAACATTTATGGTCGTATTCTCACTAAGTATAGAAGCTGTATCCATCTTGAAATTGTCGAAACTCTTTTTGTTACACGAAATTGGTTGCATGACTTTACTCGGTCTATTACCGATAATATCTTCTATCTAGGTTTAAATATTATCATTTTTATTTGGTTATTTGTGAATGTTTAACTTATTAATATCTCCATTTCCATTTGTATGTTGCATAGTTTGACCGAACATGGAGTTTAAGAAAAAAAAAGGAAGACTTTTGAAACTTGTGTTTTGAATATGACATATCATTTGTGTGGCTATAAGAATTTTGGAACATGTGGTCTTAAACACGCCTTAACATTTGTGCGGCTATAAAAATCTTTCATTAAGGGTAGAATGCTTCCATATTTAGAAATGTGCGCGTGGATCGGGATGCTTCATGACCGAGTTGGCTTCTTTTTTTAACCATCTTTTTCGGAACGAACTAATAAGTTAATACCATTCTTTTTTGGAACGAGTTGGAGCAATATTTTATGTGGATTGTAAATGGAGATGAAGCCCTTAAGGCAATTTTATCACAAGTTGATTCTAATGTGCTTGATGGTTTTGGTTATGTTACAAGTGCAAGTTGAAGTGAAATAATCTTAATATAGGTTTATGTAATTTTTAACTCTTGTAAATAGTCTTAATTGACGACTATGAACTGTATCTTTATGAGTATGTTGTTGTTGGTTGTTTTTGGTGATTATGTTTGTTTTGTGATTGCAAATACAAGCTTTTCTTTCCAAACCTTAAAAGCTACGGCTATATGGAAATTTGGTGTACTTGGACATAAAGGCTTTGTGTCATGCTTGAGTTGCAATGGTTTTGGGTGTTGTTGATGTAATTTAGCAGTATGGTTAATCACACTCAAATCAGTTATCGAGTTTCGTGTTCAAAGTTTTGAAGTTCAATGCAGGAATAGGAGAAAGAAACAGAAAAAAGAATGGAGCAATATCTTATGCACCAGGCTGCACTTCAGAATTATGGCCATGACTTCGCTAGTATCATCCAAAAGAATTAACAAACAAAATCGATCCTTAATGCTAGTAAGCAATATGATATGCTAACTTGTTTTGCCCAAATAACAATAAGTTGAAAGGAGAAAAAGTACACATTATCTTTGTTTCGTTTAGTCATTGGTTTTGTAGCAAATTGAAAGTTAACAAAAGGTTGTTCTTATGACAAAGGCTTCCTTCATTACATTGAATACCCCCTTGACTATATACCCATAAATTAAGGAAAAGAGTGAAATTTGTAATTTCTCCTGTATTCAAAGTTTCATGGTTAGCTATAGTCCAATGATGGCTCATTACTGTGCGATTGTCCTTTTGATATTAAATGCAGTTTAAGATGGCTCAGGAGTACTTCAAAGTTGCTGAAGGTGGTGTTCTTGTAGACGTCAGTTGCGGGAGTGGGTTATTTTCCAGGAAATTTGCCAAATCTGGCGCCTATTCAAGAGTCGTCGCACTCGACTTTTCTGAAAACATGCTTCGCCAGTGTTATGATTTCATCAAGAATGATGAGAGTATCTTAAGCTCGTAAGTGATTTTCTGCCTTATATAGATATCATGATATTGAAATTCTCATTACTTAATTACCAAAAGAAAAACCTCTCTAGTTGGGAAATTGAATTGTCTCTTAAAACAAGAAAGAATTATTGATTTATTCTTCAATAAGATTTGCAGCAATCTGGCTCTTGTAAGGGCAGATGTTTCCAGATTACCGTTCTTCTCTGGATCAATTGATGCTGTTCATGCAGGTGCTGCCTTGCATTGCTGGCCATCTCCATCCAATGCTGTAAGTTGTTTAAATTTTAATTTTTCTTGGGCAAAATTGTCCTGTACTTCTCGACTTATTAATGAACTACCTCTCAATCCCAAACTAGTAAGGGTTAGCTATATGAATCCTCTCTATCTATTCCGCACTATCCGGCCATTCCATTCCAATAGTGGTTAATAATTTGTCTTTTAAGGTTAATTAGGTGTTTTCTAAGACTAGAGGTTCACTGAATCACACACTTATCCCTATACTAACGTTTAGGTAGCTAACACTTATCCCCGCACTAACATTTAGGTCTGTAACCACACTAAAAGTTCTGATGCAAACACCAAACTAGTATTAGTGTATCCGAAACTAAGTGTTAATCCCAGCTAGTTAGTATTGCATGTAAGGATCCTTTGCTTCTATTATGTGCTGTTGTTAGTTCTACACTGATTTCAGTAGTTTGTAGGTCCTTGTACTTGTAATTTTGACAATATGAGTCTTACACTTTGGCCCAGTTTTTCCAACTTGAGATTGACTTAACCATGTAAATTGGGAAATATGGTAGATTATAAATTGCCCTTTATCTTCTGATGTTGCTAAATTAATTTCTCAGATGGTCCGGAATTGAATTTCCACTTTCATCTTTTGGGCCTTCCCAATATAATACATATTTTCAGGAAATAAACAGTTGTACAATTTTACCGTAATTATACTCATGGCCTCACTTTTACTCTGCATGAACCAATTTTTCCCTTTTCTGATACGTAAAAACCAGAGAGTTTTTGCCCCCCTATATACACCCTTTTAACACTTGAAACATATTTATGTTTAATTCTCTTATTAATTACGTCAAGTCCAAACAGGAGAACTGATTTTGGTCAAAGAAAATAATCTATGTCTCATTTTATGTGTTGGTGTTTTAAGCAAGAAAGAAGACTTTTGGAATTTGTGGTCTAAAACAAGCAATAAATATTTGTTTGGCTAATAAATTATCTCATTAAGGTAAACTGGAAAGTATAAAGGTAAATTGTTTTTAAATTTAGAAAGGTGTCATTCTTTTTAGACAGAATAAAAAGGAAAGAGTGTCACATAAAATGGGTCAGATGAGTACTAATTTAGGATAGAAAACGCTTGCCGCGAAGTATCTGATAAAGGAAAATTTTGCTAGAAATTGAGGTGGATAAATATTTGGTGACCAAGTCAGTTTCAGGAAACTTGAGCACCTGGAATAAGTGAATCGGGTCTGGGTAAACAGATTAATCATTTCCATGGCTGCCTATAGTGGTAGTGCTGCATCGATATCTGATTGCTGATGAGCTAGTGATTGCAAGCTGCTCTTGGTTGTAGCATTGATATTTGGTAGTGATTAGCTCTGTACTAATTCGTAAACTTCTAATTTGTCTTGCTGTCGCATAGTTTTTTTTTTTTTTTTTTTTTTTTTTTTTTTTTTTAATTCTTTGTTGCTCACTGAAGTTTGATGATCTATTCAATGAATGAAGTTGAGTTTACAGTTGATGATGCTGTTATTTTTCTGCCAGATTGCTGAAATTAACCGGATTTTGCGTAGTGGGGGTGTGTTTGTTGGTACTACATTTCTTCGAGTCAATCCTTCAGCTCCTACGATATTCAGGGCTTTGGAGCAGGTGAATTTCGTTTTCCGCCTTGTGATTATACAACTTATACTCTTTACTTTTCTTCCTTTCATACTTCGCGTGATAGTAATTGGTTATCAGCTTACAATGGGTTACACCATGCAAAAAAATTACCTGATAGTTATCATTTGAAGTTTGAACCCTAGCAATTTATGATTTTCCACAAGTAAATATCGCAAGTCAACTCTAAAAGAACAGCCCAACATCTGTGTTTAAATTTGATTTGGGAGGGTATGGTTGGACAGAGGCGGATCTAGAATTTCTAGTACATGGGTGCGCTACGAAAAAAAAAGGAGACAAAAATGTAGCTAGAGGGAATTGATCCCTATACCTCTTGGTAAATAACTCAACCTTCACCATTCAACCTTCTTGGAGCATGGATGCCAACCGTTAACATTATACCAATTTTAGAAAATATGTACATAAAATATCTAATTTTACGGAGAGACTATGGGTTCACGTGCTCTGTAATTAAGCCTATAAATCCGCCCCTGTGGTTGGGCTTAACCTGCAAACAGAATATTCAAATTTGGTAGTTGGTCTCATTTTGCTTGCTACGATTTATGCTTAAGAGTTACCATCTCACTTTATATTGGTTAAAGAGTACATATTAGTTACCAACAAATAAAGACAACACAATTGTTTGGCTTTCTTCCCACTAGAATACTTACCTATATTAGGAGTTGCTCGAAACTAACCAAAAATGCCAATACGATCATCAAGCCCAAAGGTGGACCTATGTTTTGAGTGTCATTGGACCTCGTTAACCTCGGCAAATTTTTATATATATATATATATATATATATATATATATATATATATATATATATATATATTGTATGTTGAAAACAGTTAGTATATATTTTGCATGCAACCCTTAAGATCAAAAGTCCGATGGGCGCACTGGTTGAGCAATCGGCTCATGTGCCCTTGGTACCTTCAAATCCTGGGTTCGCCTCCGAATTCAATTCAGTCTAATTGTCAACATGACAAGCCGGAATAGTGGAATGAGGCTTGATCTCGCATTGCTTTGTCAGAGCTGGTTCTACGTGATTATAAAAGTAGAACTATATGCATGATAGATGTCATTTTTTGTCAGAGATATGAACATAACTTTCCTTTTGACTGCAGAGTGCTGGAAGAACCTATAGCTATTTTACTCAAGAGGAAATTGAGGACTTGGTGACAACCTGTGGTCTCATCAACTATACCAGTAAAGTTCAGGATTCTTTCATCATGTTTTCTGCACAGAAACCCTAATCTTTGGCCAGTTAAATCTCATTATTTTTCATGTTTTGGTATATTCTTGTATTCACTTAAATGTGCAATATATCTCAACTCTGTAGATAATATAGTAAATAGATAAAGTTGATTCAGGCAGTTAAAGCACATTCTTTACTGTGAATACCACTGCTGGTAAAACAATGTAACTAGACATTAAAATAGCTTATCAGCACATGTAATATGTATCTAGTACTTTCCCTTAATTGCTTTGTTGGAATCACTTGTATATGTTTATTAATTCTGAATTCAGCTTCGTAACTCGACAGTATCTATACATTGACACTATATCATTTTCCTTCAACAAGAACCACAAAAAATAATATAATCTTTGGTTTGTGGATAAGAAATGAATGATTAATATATGATTGGATGCTAAAAAATCTGTATGTCATTGGTTAGTGACAAGTTGGTTTGGGGAATCAGCATACTATAAAATTATAGTACCATAATAAGTCTGCCTAGGTGAACAATTGACCATGGCTGAATGATGAGTGAGCATAACTATACTACAACAACAACAACTCAGTATAATCCCACTAGTGGGGTCTGGGGGGGGGGGGAGGGGGGTGGGGGGAGAATATGTACGTAGACCTTACCTCTACTCCAAGGGAAAGGGAGGCTGTTTCTAGGAGACCCTCGGCTCAAGAAAGCAACAAGAGACGATATATTAGTACTATCAATAGACTCGTACTAAAATAACATAAAATACATAACATAAAATAACAAATAACAGCAATATAAGAAATATAGAAAATACGAAAAAAATGGAAGGTATAGCGCAATTATTGAAGCACCACCGCAAACGCTACAGCGCATCAACCTGCCGAGTATTTAGGCACCACTTTGTTGTACCAGCAGACTACTCTGATTGTCAAGCTATCCTTATCAGACCACTTGCTTGATGTCTAGTTTTCATATGAGTGATTGATAATGCAATTTTTTATATAGAAGTTAAATACTTAGAAAGTATCATATAACACGCTCCCCAACTTATTACTGCAAAAATATAACAATTCCTTCCAATAATTACCATAAGCAAATTGATCACTTATTGTGGACCTGAGGAAGTATAAAGATAAGGTGGTATTAGAATCGATAATTTTCATCTCGTAAAATAAGGTATAAATATTTTTAAAAACATCATATAATATTCTTATAGCACATATTGGAAATGCTCTGAGGATATATCAATAGTCAAATTTGCTATTACAACACTGACCTTGTCAACAATTCAGATTCGAACGCTCCTTCTCAAGGGTGATTTTATTTTCAATGCTCGAATATAAAACTTCTGATTAAGGATGGAGTAGTGCTTACCACCGTCCCATTATCTTTGGTTGTGTTCAGTGTTCATAATTCATATTTCATTTTGATGTGTCTTTTTATTTATTTATTTTTTTTCTTTTTTAAAAAAAAAAATAAACTTGGCTTTCTTACTCATGCTACACCGCTATAGTAGGATTATATATATGAGGAAGGAAGCAGTTAAAAAGATGAAATATTATCGTAGAATAAAGAGCCCCATGTGAAAGAAGGCAATAGAATAAGAATAAGGTTTTTTGAACAGAACAAAGTGAAAACTTTATCTCAGAAAAAAAAAACTTTCAGAAAGAAGTTAACACAGATCTCCCCTCGTGCGGCTAAAACGCTGATTCATCCTGTTTGTTCCTCTACCTTCCCTCGTGCACTTCTGGATCTTTGACCTTTGACCAACATTAAAAATACCTTTTTTTCTAAAATTTAATTTTAGTGCAGCGATTGTAAAGACTTTTTATACTATCAGATTAAATTAACATAAATAATATGTAACTTTGTATATCAAATCTAATCTAACTTGTAATAATCGATTAAATTGCACCGCTAATTTAGAATATATTCATACTGTCCGTCTATATGGCTTAATATCAACAAATATATCAAATCTAATACGACTTGTTATAATCGATTAAATTGCACCGATAAATTAGAATATATTTATATTATCCGTGTATATGACTTAAAATCAACAATTTATTATTCAATATATTTTTATTTTTATTTTTTGTTTTGGCTGGTCCGGAAAGCACTATGATTACTACAATTTCTTCTTGTTTGTTTGTGGTTTTGTTGGATGTTGCGGTGATAATGACTAATCTTATCCTAAAGCTTTTTAAAGATTTTTCATCCAAACTTGTAATAATTACTTGTAATTGCTTTTTAAACTAATTTGATAGTAACATTTTGTGATTTCCATAACGGAAGATGACTCGTGTGAAACAGATCTGAATTTTTATTAACTTTTCTTAAAAAAATATTAGACTATTATTCCGACGAAAGCAGTGTGAAAATCGCGGGCCAATTTCTCGCCTTCACTTTCGCGACCGATTCGGTCAGAGAATAAAAAGTCAAAAATATCAGTTGACCAAAAAAGCTACTGCGTCGGTCGCTAAGTTAAAATTAAAATGGTAAAAGAATATGTAAGCGGGTTTGCGACCACGGTAGTCACAAATCTAAATTTAATATTTCAGGCCAAAACCTATTTCCCCAATTTGTGCGCGCCCTATTTCCCCAATTTCCCTCCTCTCTCTTTCGATATCTTCAATTCTATCTCAGCGGCTGACAGAGGCAAACGGGCGGACGAGGCAAAGGCGGACAGAGGCAAACCTAGAAAAAGCAAAGCTTCCACCATACCTGTGCTTGAAATTCGTTTCAACCGAGCAAAAAGTATAGCAGGTGCCTTCTAATCTTCATATGTGCTGCAATCTCCATCCTGTTTGAGTTCTTTGGTCTTATTAAAATATGTCCGTAGGAACTAATAACCAAGAATCCATATGTGAGTGTGTTAATTCATGTTTTCCTGTAGCTCTTTTGTGATTTCCTGGAGAACTAGCAGCCCTCATGTTTAGGACTAAGGGATCGCATTAATATATGCAATACCAACTGATCTATAAGGCTATAGGAATCAGTTGATGAATTATTCCTAAGCGGCTTTAAGCGATATTTTTGTGTCTCTCGATCTTTATTATTTGCACATGTTTGGACATATCACATAGATATCATGTCATTAGGTATATTTTCTAAGTTAAATGAAAGACAATATATGGACACCAATATAGAGGCAATGTGTTATCTGCGTAGAAAATGTGAGATATCTTCACCAGATGAAAATTAAGATTCTACATGCTGCAATAAATTTTTCAGGAGTATGATTAACCCTACTTGGTAGCTCTAAAGGAACCAAACTTGTGAATACTGTATAGATCAACTAATTCCTGGTCCAGCACCATATTTACATGGCAAAAGAAATGGAGACCTAGCTATGAAGCCTTGCCAAGTGGATAACTTGTTAAAGTATAGGTGCTAAGACCAAAAGAGCTCACATTCAAATTGTATCAATGTTTTATGTCCATATTAAATGTACCTCTTCTTCTTACTTCTGTATGCTAAAGAATGCATTTTCATTAGGGATAGTAAAACATCTTTATTGTTGAATAAAAGAACAAAGAAACGGACAACTCCAGAACTCAAGTAGAAATAAAAACAGGTCTAGAATATAATAGTCCATGAAGAGTAGCGTTTTAAACAAACATGGACAGATAGTTTAAGATCTTGAGTAGCGTTTATTGAAGAGCTCTGCTTTTCAATGCACCTAAATCCTCTCTCTCCCACTCTCTTTCTCTCTGTATCGCAATTCTTTCCCAAATATAAGAGTTTGAGTATAAACATTCAGGTAAAGTGATTAAAGGAATTACAGTTATCTGCATGAAATGCCCTCTAGGGGAGTAAGAAGTAGAGTTTTTTCCACATGCCTTTGTTTAATCTAATGATGATTTATCAACTATCCATTAGGCACAACTATTGGCAGGAATATGACAATATAACACCAGAGGAAAGTAGAAAATAATCTTATGCATTGTCTTTCCTTGTACTGTAGTTCTAAGAATGTAATCTTTTGATATCTGCAACAAGTTTTCTTGACTTCACAACGAAAAAAGAAATTCTGGTTTTCCCAATCACAACATATATTTTTATCTAGGTGAACCCTTCTTAAGTAGATTTAGTTCTGTGTTTTAGTATACCAAATTTACCCTGTTTTAGCAAGAGCTTGCATGAGGATGAAGATAAAAATTAGAATGCATATTTTGCTTCTCTTTCTTCAATGCTTTATGCTCTCTTTAGATGTCAAAGTCTGAAGAACAACATGTGGCCGGTTAACTTCTTGGGGTTTAGATACATATAGTAGTCTTTGCAAAGAAAGGATGCTAAGAAAAATAGATGTCAGCCTGATTTGGTGTAAGGGGTTGGGGCTTGTGGGACTTGTTTCAGTAATTTGCGCAATCCTGCAGTGATTGGACTTAGTTTTCCATGTGAACATGTGCACTGTTTCTTTCCTAGTGAGGACCAGTGGTACAAGTAGGATATCTAACAAGAGTAATACATCAAATCCAAGAGATAGGCATGCTGTAACAGATAGGCATGCTGTAGGTCGTTCTACGACATTGTTGTCTGGTGATGCGAGTTATTCGCAAGATCACGAAGAGGTGGAAGCATTACGAAAAGAAGTTGAAGAATTGAAGGAGGAACGAAAAGAAGATCGCGCAAATTTTAACAAATTGCAGAGTCTAGTGGAGAAATTTATGAGCGGACGTCCATTTGCTCCTTCGAATGGCAACGATGGCGTGGATAATGAGTTTTAGTTTGTTATGGTTATTGATGTTTGAGACATTATTATTTGTTGTAGTTGGATGTTTAGACTTGGTAATATTTACACTTGACTATGATTGTAATATTTTAGACTAGATTGAATGGTGCCAGAATGTTTATCTCTTTTTGGATGTTTTAGTTACAAATATTTATATTTTGCATTTTATGGATTTGATTAGTTGCAACGGTGGATTGATTAGTTAGCATGGTAGATTAATTGGTTGTTATATATTTGAATTGGTAGGTGGTATTGCTTTAAAAGAGCTGGAATTTGGTCAAAAATTTCCAGATTTGCGACCACAGTAGTGGAAAAAATCAAATAAAATTAAATATTATTATAATTATATATACCATTTGCGACCGAAGTAGTGGGAAAGTTAATTTAAAATTAAACTTTAAATTAAATGTGTTGCGACAGCGTCAGTCGGAAAGTTTGCGACCGCGACAGTCGGACAATTGGCGTCATTTACTAGTCGTTTTATTTTTTGATTTTGCGACCGCTGTAGTCGCAAATTACCGACCGATTCGGTCGCTAAACATTTCAGACCAGCTATT